TTTCGTCACTCGGAATGCTTCATTCATGCGAACACACGCATCCGAAAGATAGAGGAGGAAGTCTGATAGCTGCAGCTGCGGAGAGTGAAACTGCGCTGCCAGGCGGAGTGTTTCTGAATCCAATTAGCTTCATCGTTTGCCAGATCACGTGTAAAGTTGCACACTCCTCCGCCGTTTGGTTTCATGTGCGCAGACTAATGCAAGGAAACAGCAGCGATAAGCGACATCCTCCCCACGTTGCATTAATTTGAATTGCCTTGTGTGTGTGTGCGGACGCGTTTACGTGTGTGTGTGTCTGCTTCCTTTCCCCAAGAGCCTATGTCGGTTAGCCGGGTGATATTTGTTGAAGTTATAATCTCCGTTTTCTTATGCAAGTGATGGCAGCGACCTATTAATATCGGCACGACATTGAAAGGGCTGGTGGTGTCGCACCACCATTGCATATTCACAACATACCAGGTACTCATTTAAGGCTGAGTCAACCTAGGAGAAGCACAGGACAGCCTCCCTACATATTATTGAAGGCTATAGGGGGACATTTTTTGTTTGTAATTTCGCGTGATGGCGTGTTCTCATGTGGGAAATGTAAGGACGGATATTCGTGTCGTATACATCGACTATCACGCAGGCAATGGATTGTGTATATTCAAAGGCACGTCAATGCCTCGGCATCTGCACATTCGTAATTAGCAGTAATTTGTAGGCACACGTGGAAAGAGAAATGTATTTTTGATTACATTTTCATGGTGATGCGTAATTTAAGCACTTGCCATTTGTGACTCTGCAGGTTACCAACAATGCTTTTATGCAAACGGCTGGCATTGCTTTGCACGCAAAAATCGCATCATCATCATCATCAGCCGTGCGCAATCCACTGCTGGATGAAGGCTTACAACCGGCACCGTACAACACGAGCTCATTTTCATCGCTCAATCTCGTCGGTGGATGTTTCTCTCGGATCTTAGTATCCTGCACAGCGATGCCTTCATACGTAAAGACGTATGGCTGGCTGGCTGTGTGCCGCGCTGGACATGCTGAGGGAGATAATATTCCGGGAGCGGTTGAGGAAGACGTGGGAACAGGAGGTGAGGATGGAGGTGACGTGCGGAGCGCAGAGAGAGGGTCGCTCTGAATCTAAATCATTTTTTGTGGAAAACGCAATTTCTCTCCGCGTGCAACCAACGACCTCTTAAAATAAATTGTGCTCCCTTTGATTCTTCCGCCAAATGTTACCCACTTCCCCACTCCCACCGAGCCCCCCCCCCCCGCCATGCTAGCCCCGTTTTGATTGAAGGCCACACAAGATTGCCTGCGTCGCTTGCACAGAGCAGTCTCCGAGGATAAAAAAGGTTGGGGGGGGTGGGGTTTGGGGGATGTCTGGGGGAGACGCTGCGGGGGAGGATGGGGGGAGTGGATCGGGGGGTGGAGGGATAGGGGGGGGGGGTGAGAAGTGTCGTGGCCGGATTAACCTCTTGCATCGCAATGACAGGTTTACTCAGCCGCTATGCAAATCCATCTATCTGTGCGCTAACATTCGCCACGAAGCGCCAACAGCGCTGCTGCTGCTGCTGCTGCTGCTGCCCTGTACCAACATTTAACGGCAGCGGTCGGCTACAGAGGAGTGTCCACGTCGGGTTTGTGAATGTGTTTGTGTGGAGCGGTGGGCGCAGTGGTTAGCGCGTCGCGTAGCGAGCTCTGCGACGCCGGGTACGATGCCCGCTAACGGCCACCAACTCCAGTGACGATTTTCTGAACCGGTCCCGGGGCCTCCCCTAGGTCGACTCAGCCTTTAAATGTAGTACCTGGTGTGTAAACATCGCCACTGGGGAGACAAAGGCGACCGGGCGTGGTGATGGCCACCCACGCCCTCGTGTGCTCTGCCGGCTACTCGCGAACAGAACTTGCCCTGGCAGTCTGTTAAGGATGGCACAAGCGCGCAGTGGCCGCCACTCAGTGGCGAATGGCGGTTGCTTGTATTATCGACTGCAACGATCGATTCTCACACGCACGAGTAGACGTGTCGCGTCTGTTGAGCCGAAACATCGATGTACATCGTTCATCGGTAGCGCCTCGCTCGCGTCTGTTCGTGGTCGACGTAGGCTGAGCGGTTCTCGGCTCTTCCGAGAGTTGTCGTGCTTGGCGAGCAAAGATTCACGCGCTGCCACTTTTCTAGACGGTATTGTCCGTCTCGCGGCAAAAAAATAAAATAAACGGACGCGATTATGTCATCCAAACGCGCGTGTCTGAGTGTGTGATTATCTTATCATTGTCGTGACGTGATATGAAATCTGTTGACAACTCCCAGCACCAGTCGGCAAATATATATCGATGCCGCAGAGTTACATGTTTACGCAGTTTGGAGTGATGGTGGGATTCGGGAGACGGGGACGGAGAATGGAGGGATGTGTGGTGGTGGAAGTGGAAAGGGTGATGGGGCAGAGGAAAGATCGGCCCTTTGGGGAAATGTGTATACACGTTGGTCGACCTGGCAAATGTGAGCCTGGGTTGATGGAGAGATAAACTAAACTATTCAACTGCAATTTTATTTTATTTCTAAATCCTTTATATTAAGTTTGCTTGCTTGCTTAGGACCGTGCAAATCTTTAGGTCGTTTTTTAACCCACTTCTCGTGATCCAATCGAGCTGACATTTTGCACACAGGCTCGTTGTGCGTGACAATGCATTTTCGTGAAAAAAATTCCTAAATTTTACACTGTTTAGGGAATTTTTTTTAAATATTTAATTACCAATTTTGTTAATGCTGCCAGAGGACGAGAAGACTCTAGCCGCCCCGATGCCACGCATATAAATGATTTATAGTGAAAAACTTTGTTTTTACGGGTTTACCTGTACCCGGTTAGGTATATAGCTCTTCCTTCAGGAGCCACCTGGCCACAAATGATAGCTCAGCGAAGTGGCTTATCACCTAGAAGCCAAATACTCTCAGCACATGTTTCTAAATGTGGAGGACAAAATTAACATACAAACTTCAAGTATACAGCAGGCGTCAGGGTCGGGATCGAACCCACGCTCTCCTTCATACCAGGCGACGGAGTTAACGTCTCGCCACCGGTCACTCCTGTTAAAGAGTCTGATTTACATCTTGATAAAACAGCAGGACGGCATCGCCTTGGCAATCTGCGCCGCTCGTTGCGAAGGAGACGTGGGTGCGTTTCGGGTCAAACATGAATCAGCCGTTATCTATCTACTGCTGGATGAATGTCCCCCCAAGCCGTCATTTCTCGCGATCACACGATGCGACAAATCCACCCTAGCGCATGCACACGAGCTGGTCTCATGGCTCGATCTGCACGGTGCAGTGCTCTTTGAAACTTTGCCATCTCTTGGATGAAGGAAAAAAAACAATGCATCGAATGATGAACATTCGCAAACAACACGTGATTCAGACCACGTGTCTCTGTTGGAATATAAACGGTTACGTTAGCACGTCCGGATTAGTAACAGCGGTGACATCTCGCTCTGCATTATCGGTGGGTGGGGGGGGGGGTTTCTGAGACATCGCTCCCATTTCGGGTACAATTAAATCACGCTGGTTGCGTTCTGTGCGAGCCGCTGGTTTCCCCAAGTGTGACCAGTCTCGAGTCTGCACGTCCGTACATCAAACAAAGACAAAGATCCCCCTATAGCCTTACCATTCTGTTGAGGCAAGTGCTCTGAGCGAGTAGGACATACGAAGGCCGGCACGACACTGGAGGGAGTTGGGTGGTCAGCACCACGCTCAGCCGCCTTTGTCTTCCCAGTGGAGATGTTTTACACACCGCACCAGGTACTCATTTGAGACCGAGTCGACCTAGGTGAGGTCCAGGACCGGTTCAGATTACCGTTACCGTGGTATAGCGCAGCGCGCTAACCACTAATCTATCGCTCCCCACATCATCAAGCACACATACAAATACTCCCCCCTCGCCACTCAGTGTATCTTTCAACAGACTTTTGGCACAAGTGGTGTTAGCGAGTACCTATTACGGTCGGCATGGCGCGCAAGGGGATGGGTGGCCAGCACGACTTCCGGCCGCCTTGATCTACCTAATGCTTTCGTTGAGACACGCTGCACCAGGGATTCCTTGAAAGCTGAGGCGACCTCGGGGAGGCACACGACCGGTGCAAATATTCGTCACTGACGCTGGCTGTGAGCGTTGGTCGAACTCGGGTCGCCGGGTTCTTGGCGCAGTGCGGCTGCTCCGCACGTATGATGAGCGCACATCGATGGTCATCTCAGTGAGTGATGGGGGTTTCAAATGATTCACCCTCCCCTGTCAAGCGATTGGGTGAATTGCCACGGTTTGGAATCGCGATTCATACGACGGATGGATTCTTGGTTGTATCCTTACATCTTCTTGGTTCTTTCGGTAAAGTCACGTAGAATTGAAATAATAAAATAATAAAAATAAAACATAATAAAATAATTCTCACGACGTTTCGGCCACAACGCAAGTAGCCGTCCTCAGGTGGAGAACAGGTCTGTCGAGGAGTCTGAATGACAAGCCTCAGGCTTGGAGCGACTATTTAAGCTGGGATGTTTTATTTGTTTTATTTTATTATTTCAATTCTACGTGATGACTTTACCGAAAGAACCAAGAAGATGAATCCCTGCAGTCACGAAAGCTTTAAATCGAAAAATGTCTCCTTACAGTCTAGGTTTGTAGATTAGTTCGCTCCATTTGCCTAAATGTAACAGCCTTCATCATTCATATGCAATTGGCATGAATTGTAAATAATTGCTTCTCACACTCACGATTCGATGCATACATGCATATGTCGAGAGCCGAATGCATGATTGTAGTCGTAGGGGTGATAATTCATGCAGAGCCGTCCCGAGGGTACGGCGAATCGGTGCGACCGCCCCGGGTCCCGCGGTTTTTTTTTGGGTGTCAGATTTAATCCTTCCGGTTTAGTTGTAAGGTGGCGTGAGGGTCCTCACAGTAGGATTTACCCTGGGCCCTGCACCCACGCCCCCCCCCTCCCGCCATGGACGGCTCTGATTCCATGCCTCCTCAACATTCCACGGTGTTCTGGGTGAAACGACAATCGTGTACCTCTATGAGTCGCCAGCCGTGGAAGGGGACTGTGTTGATCGTCGTCTTTCTTTGTGTCTGGGTTTTCTGTCTCTCTGTGCCTCTTCCCTTCCTCGAATGGATTTTTTTGCAGCGCTGCCGTCTTGATCTCTCCGCCCTCCCCCACCAAAAGCTGAGGCTATTGTGGGTGACACGAAAGCTGCACCGTTGTACGATCCTGACCGTGTCGTGTCATTGTGCTTCACGTAATAGTCTGCAGACATTTCCCCACGGAGGGGGGGGGGGGGGCAATTGTGATGTGCGTGGTGTTTTTAGATGTATGTTCTTCTACTGGTCTCGTCTTGTTTAAATACTCGCTATCGCCGTGTCGCCGGAGCCTAGGCGATAATTATAAACGCATCGCCCGTTGCATCTTCGCTGCAGGTCGCTTGCGATAGCTAGAGGGCGCCCGTGTGCGTCCTTTGTTTAAAGTGTTTGTTCATGCCGCATTCCATGCACGCCGCCTGTTCCCGCTACCAGGTTCAGCTGGACCGATACCCTCCCCCCTTCCCGTCGTGGGCTCTTAAGAGCCGCAGGGACCTTGTGGGAGCAAAGGCTCCTTGAAAGGTCTATAGCCAGCAAAGGTGCACGTAATTGGGGTAAATCAGCACGCCTTTATATTGCCACGGCCAGTTCATCAGACTCAGCCAGAAGCGCCCGGGCCCGCTGGTGCGTGCGCGATTGGCCGCTTGGGTGGGCGCAATGCCAGGTGCCCTCCGCGGTGCGGTGAAGTTGAGCGCGTGCTGGCGGCGTGGGCTGGCACTGCGGCGCGTGTAGCACGCCAGACAGAGTGGCCCCGTCGTGCGAGGCGAGGCGCGTGTCGTCAGAACCGCTACCGCAGCTGCAGCTGCTGCTGCTGTCGTCTGCTATTGCTTGCTGCTGTCACCACAGCTGGAGTCACTTATTCACCAACTGCGTTAACACGCAGGAGAGAGTGAGGTTGTGGTGGGGGTGCGCGCTTTAAATCCGAGGCGTCGCGCGCGGTGGAATATTTCCATTATCGCAGGGGAGGTGGTGACCACGAGTGTGGTTCGGTGCGGTGGACGAGTTTGGTGCGATTTGTGAAAGGCGTGCGGTTCGTGCGGCCGGTTGTATCAAACAGCCGCAAAGACAACAACAAACCACACAAACACACAACAGGAAAGGAAGAATATTCCTACGCGCTCAGCGCAGGCGAGGCACGGGTTGTGTTTGCGCACGCGACTCGACAAGGACGTCGTCCCGACGGCCATGGACCTCAGCGCGGGCAAGGATGTGGACGAGGACATGGATGACGGAATCCCGTGGAGCGACGTGAGGCCAGAGCAGCTCCACTCCATGTGCCAGAGACTCCGCGGGCTGTGAGTGCACACCTATGCTCACTCGCTTGTGCAGAAACACACGTGTACACGCTTAGTTGCTAAAATTATATAAATAATGCCTCTTGTTACAAACAGCCCTTTCGCTCACTTCAGCAATTGTTTTCTTGCTGTGGTTGTCCTACCTGATGACGGACGCTTGTGTTGCGCCCGAAACGTCGTGATTTTATTTATTTTATTTTATACCTACGTGACTTTACCGAAATAACCAAAGAGTATGTACACGCTTGCTGGGGTAAAGTACTGTTAGCGAGTACTGTACCTATTAAGGTCAAGGTATATGTACGCCAGTGGTGTGGTTAGCATCACGTCCGGCCGACCGCCTTTGTTTCCCCAGTTTGAATCGTTACACACCGCAGCAGGTACTTTTTTAAAGGTCGAGTTGACCTAGGGGAGGCTCAGCGCCGTGTCAGATACAACGCGTCACTGATGTTAGCAGTGGCTGCGAGTTCACTTCCTGGAGGACCAAAGACTCGCGACAACCAAACATAATTCGGGTAAAATTAATTTTAGCAACTAAGCGTATTTTAAAACAATTACTGTACTGTTTTTTTTCGATTTAAAGCTTTCGCGACTGCTGGGATTCATATTCTTGGTTCTTTCGCTAAAGTCACGTAGAAGGGAAATAATAAAATAATAAAATTACAACAATTAAATTCTCACGACGTTTCGATTGCAACACACAGCTGATGATGATTGCTTGTGTTGCAATCGAAACGTCGTGAGAATTGTATTGTTTTATTATTTGATTATTTCCCTTCTACGTGACTTTACCGAAAGAACCAAGAATATTATTACTGTAATGTGAGTTTGTATTCCCAGGAAGGTCTCACTGAGTCCCGATAGATTTCCTTCCGGAAAGTAATGTTCAGGATTTGTGGGCAATTTCCTAATGAGCGCATTCATTCGAGGTGCGTTGTGATCCACCAATCGCGAGTGTCCGGTGTTGTGCCTGACGTGCACCGTCATGCCGGTTAAATTAAGGGTCAGCACAGCCCACGAGATGTCCTCCTCCAGTGTCGATGTTCACACACGGTTGGCAGACGCTCAACCAAAGGGCACTTGTGCGGTGTCGCCTGTGCGTGCCGCAAAGAAGCGAAAACTGCCCGCCCGTCGTCCGGGACTCTTAGCGCATTGCACCGCAGTTGCACATACACATGCGCGCTGCATGCAAACCAGAGGTCGCAACCGGGTACCCGATACCCGGCTACCCGTACCCGGCCGGGTACGGGTACCCGTTTGCGACCCTGGTGCGGCCGGGTACGGGTACGGGTAGGCCGTGAGTCACTGGTGAGTAACTGTCACTCATTTCCCAACGTCTTGTCTCTTCTCACAATTCAAGTTTCCTAGAATCAACCCACCCGCGCCTGCAACATGGCTTCATCCCAGAGGTCGCAATCAGGTACCCGATACCCGTACCCTACCCGTACCCGGCAGGGGAAGGGGTTGGGTACGGCCGGGTACGGGTACCCGTTTGCGACCCTGGTGCGGCCGGGTACGGGTAAGGAATCAAAACCCGTTTGCGACCTCTGATGCAAACCACAAGCGCGCGCGGGCACACGCACGGACACACCGTGCGTTATTGTGCACGGGGCAGGCGATGTTGCTGCTAAGAGAGAGAAAGAGAGCTTCCGGATTTTGCGGGCAAAGCGTTGTGCACGCGCATGCCATGCAGAGAAGGCGGCCCACCCACTGTGCACGCACGCATTGCAGAGTGCACGTTTTTTTTCCTGCACAGCAAAAGTAGCGAATCCATTCCAAGTACACACCGTACGCGTTGGTTTGCGAGCGCATGTTTGTGTTTGTTTCGTGCCGTGTGCACACGCACATGGTGAGTGCCCAAATCTAAAAACAAGATAAACATCATCCCCCGTATTGCCTTAATAGACTTTCGTGGCAAATGCTGTTAGTGAACGCCTATGAAGGCCGGGTGGCAAGCACCATGTCTCCCTAGTGGCGGTGTTTATACACCGCACCAGGTACTCATTTGAGGCTGAATTGACCTAGGGAAGGCCCAAGACCGGTTCAGATATGTATCGTCACTGGTGTTGGTGGCCGTGAGTGGAAATCGAACGCGGGTGGCAGGGTTCATAGCGCAGCGCGCTCACTGCTGCACCACCGCTCCCCATATATCTACTGCACGCGGACGCACACATAGACAACGAGAGATCCCTGTACGCACATGCAGACTGAGTGCAAGAGTTGTTAGCGAGCACCTACATTGATCGCTTTTGTGAATAACAAATTAGGTGTACGCATCAATACCCAATTTCAGCGAGAAGCAAAACGTTAAAACGACCGAAAAGCAAGAACAAAGACGCGTAAATAACACACAAACGTCGCAACAAACAATACATATTCCCGAGTACTGTACACGAAGTTAAAGAAAAGAGGAAATAAAGGATGGGCGTAGGTCAGAGCACAATAAAAGCGGAAGCGCTTGATATATATTTTTTTATTCACTTTATTTTTTATTATTATTTTTCTACCGACGTGTTGTGCACGATGCGTTGCTAAGAGACACCACGCCCAGCCGTCTTTGTCTCCCCAGTGGCGATGTTTACACACAACTGCACCAGGTACTCATTTGAGGCTGAGTAGACCTAGGGGAGGACCGGGACCGGTTTAGATAATCGTCACTGGGTGTTGGCCGTGAGCAGGAATTGAACTCGGGTCGCCAGGTTCGCAGCGCAACGCGTTAGCCGCTACACGACCGCTCCCCATTGTACATCACCCACATACACACACACACAAGCACAACGCACAATATTACCCATAATAGTGTTTTTTTGGGTTAGATTACGTAACTACAAAGGCGTCGTTAAACCCGCCACTACCCGCCAATTAGCAAGGTTTGCCACGTAAACAGAACATGCCAATTAGTTCCACGTGAAGTGCAGTCGAACCACGCGGAGACGAGGAATTCTGTAAGGGCTGTTGCCCTTTAATACAACACTTACACTCGACATCCTACACTCACACCAGTGTAGACAGGGGCGGTTTCTTCATTAGGGCGATTGGGCGACGCACCACCAATGCCATTCAACCACAGAGTCACGCTAGCCGTCACTGTGCCTCTGGATATAGTCCAATCAGCGTCATGTCACGTTCTGTGGAGTACCGCCTCTTTTTTGGCGATTTCACTCCGGCTGAGAATCGCCCCGAGTGGCCCCATAGACTTACATTCAAAGATGTTTTTTTTCGACCGGGGGGCGCTGCAATGCATTCTCTATGGCTTCCGGGAGGGCTCGCCCTAACGTGCTTACGTCATCATACGTAAGCGCGTTTCATCCAACAATATAATTTGTCGCCACCTAGTGGAATCTTTAATAAAAGAAACTTGAGTGGATTGTATTAATAGTGAGTATAGAAACAAACAAGATGTATTGTAGGAGTCACTTTATTTTTCATTAATATTAAAGAAGTGAAGTTGCCTTTACATGCTTAAGCTGTTAATTTATCCATTGCATGGGTGGACCTTATCCTTATCAATCATCCAGACATTTGCCCCCCCTGAGAGATTTTGCAGGAGCCGCCACTGAGTGTAGATGCACTCTATCTCGGTCCTTTTGGTTACTCGCAATACTTCTCTCCACTAGGACAGCACACCGGTGTGTCGGAGAGCCAATCCATAACATTTACAATCTGAGTACAACGTTTCGCCAATAATTACAACGAGCATCATCAGGCGGACAGCCATATTTATTATACTCCACGATATTACACAGGCAGGCCTCACGATATGGGGGCGAGGTGGTGGGGAAGTGGCTTACAACTACCAGGACCCCAAGCAACAACATGTTACAGTGGGGTGATTTCACGTAGCACAATTAACAAACAAGCAAGCATGCTCAAAGCCCAGCCAACCACGAGATGATTTACATGGGAGGGTATGGGGGGGGGGTCCCCGAGGGGGGGGTGGGGTCCTCACCCAGCCCAAGAATGGGGGGCTCAGGGTGGGCCCACGCAACCCATATCAATTACCGGTGTCTCACATTTCTCTCGACGGGCCTCCATACACACGCGTGGACACACCACCCTCACAACATACACACTATACACAAACACCATACAAACCACACACACCACGAACCACATACACCACACATACTATGCATACAGACCACACACACACCATACACACGCCACACACATCACACACACCACGGCTCTGTATCGATCTCCTCTGTTGTGCAGTTGGAGGCTCACGTAGCTCGCACTTGCAATGCAGCGACGGGGGGACGAGGGTGGATGGTGGTGGATGTAGAGGGAATTCGCCTCCTACCCCCCCCCCACCTTTGAGCACCAAACCATTCATGCGCGAGTTCATGGAGTGCACACGGTGAATGGAGGCGGCAGGCTGATCGGCATAGCGTCTCATTGCATAGCTAGCGTCTCATTGCGAGATCAACAACGCCGTAGTGACACCTTGCGCATCTATATGATAATCCGTGAACGGTGTGCAATGTGCGCGTGTTTGTCTATGCGGAACGCACGGCAACTTTGGCAGCGTTCTTATCTGTGCGGCCGATTCAAAGTCGCTCGCGCAGCGCGTACGCACGCAGCACAAAGTTACGCGAGTCCAAAGATGTGTGATTTCGTGTCGTACAATGAACGGAGACAAACTCGGAAGCGAAGGCCAAGACAATCGCAGGATGATTAAGAGGCGTCTTTAGTACGGTACAAAACGCGTACAATTTGACGTTTTGAAGCACGTGAATGTGGCTGCATCTCAAGACTTATGTTTCAAACAACACGCGTAGGAAAAGCACTGTGCCTTTGTGCATTATGCAAAAGCCATCAGCAGCTCCTGAAGAACTGCATTGCGGTGCCCTTGTCTGAGATCACCATCAAAAGAAACGTGGACAGATGTGACTCTCGCAAGCCTGAGTAGAGCCGAGTGTAGTTGCGCACAGCGCCTGCGATACGGCGCTTTAGAGGTGAGGGTTGGTGGATCACCAAGGGATTTGCGTTAAACTTCC